GATGCATCTCACAGACCTCCAGAACAGGGACAGGGAAGTATCTGTGTCCCTGTCCCAGTGGTCTGCAACACCTGACTTTGACCTTAAAAATCACATTGAAGAGCTTCACCCTGAGGGTGAACAGAGGGAATTAAACTCATCTGCTCAGCATCAAAGTCTCACACCCACACACAGGTATGAGAGCTGAAAGTTAAGGACTATTGACAGTTTAAATCCTTCTAATGTTGAAGAATGGGGAAGTGGAGATGACGCAGGTTCCGTGTCCTGTTGTATAAGAGCATTTCTTTTGTTGTCATTTGTTCTTTGTTTTTTGTTTTTTTTCCCATGAAAACCTTTATAAGTTCCTTATGAAGGTGAGTACTTGGTGGTGTTTTCATTAAAGCTGCAGGTCCTGAAGCAATGCAATCATGGGAGAATTTCATTTTTCAGTGTTCATTTTTTTGGCTTTTTCTACAAGTGAAAGTTGTATTCGTTGTTCTGGAGAACTATGACAGAGTTGTGATTGTTTACAATTTTAAGGGAAAAAAAGATCTCACTATTTGCAACTTTGAAGCCAACCAGTTGCTTTCTTGGGGTTAGCAGACTTTCTTTTCTGTGGAAAGAAGTAATGTATTGCTCTAACATCCAAATTTATTTTCAGGAACAAAAATTGAAGGACATTCAATGACATGAGAGCTCCAGCTCAGATTTATAACTGGGTGATGAGAAATTGCTGAATAATGTGCTCATTTTCTGCCACTAGAAGGTAATAAATCTTCCCAGTTTTCCTGGGTCCTGAGAATGCTGCTGTCCAGTCCCATGATCAACTTCCAACACAGAAACAGAGGAATCTCCAGGGTGCAACATGTTTCCCTTCACAGCAATCTCCAGGCTGGTTTTAATGGTTCCAAGACCATTCCCTGGGTGCTGTGCATGAGGGATCTCCATTCAGGATGCTCCAGGTATTGCTGATGTGCTATTCCAAGTGGTTTGTTTTTTTTTAATGAAGGGGTTTGTTGAGAGGTGGCCTCCAGCATTTGCTGTGGCCCTGACACCAATGAGTTAAGCTGCAAATAGCCCCAGGGGAGGACTGTGAGCTTTACTGCCACATAAAAACAACCTTTCTGAAAGCAGCAGGGAGAGTCTGGCTCCCAAACAATGCTGTGCTCTCAGCTGCCAGCACAGCTGGCCACGCTCCAGCCCAGGTGAGCACACCTTGCTGGGGACATGGACTTACCCCCAGGGGAAATGCTCTCTGGCAAGGACAGCTCAGTGTCAGCTGGCCTGGGGAGGGCTGTCTCACTCCGAGGAGTGTGAAATCAGGGATTTGATTGTGTTGATGTTGGCTGTGAATTCCTTTTTTGAATTTTTTTAGATTTTTTTTTTTGCTTATGCTATATCAAACTTGGTGTACCGGGTGAGAAGCAATGGCTGGCTGCCAGCTGCAGCCTCCTGGCATGGGATTTGCCAGCTCAGAGCAGGAGAAATCTGAATCTCAGTCTGTTACCAGGCTCTGCTGCCCTGCACAGGAGATTTCTCCAGTTCTCTGCTTGAAATGCAGAGCCTGAACTGCCACAAGGAGGACACAATTTAGGCAAAGGACTCAGGCAAACTTTGCAGTCAGTGACAAGGATGACTGTGACAGTTCAGTGTCCTGTGTGCTCACTCCTGGTGAGCTTTACAGTTTTTAATCTTTCGACAACTTGTACAGTTATAATTCAAAAACAAACTCATCCAATTCTTTCCTGTCTTTTCCTCAGCCCTGCCCCTAACTCCCACTGACTTTTAAAAGCCAGTGAGAACTAAACCTTCTACTTGATGTAACAATGTTGGGAGATAAAACCCAAGATACTGACTGTACCCAGAGGTGCCTCTATCTTTTCTGAGCACTTAATGAGCCAAACTACTTCCTAATCTATCGAAACAGAAAAATTCAGACACTCCAGTTCCTATGGAGAGGAGACCTGGATGAAGGGACTCTGCAGTGCTGCTTGCAAATTCACTGTAGCTTGGACTCTGAAACCATGATGTGAAGAACACTTTTCATCTGTACATCTAGCTGATAACTACTTCAATTTAATTAATCCCTACGTGTCTGGGGAGACAAGGAGACATACCTAGGGATTGCTTTTCCCAGCTGTGAAATGCTGTCACCTCCAGGATGGAGTTAACAGCAGCTTGTTCAGTGTATTGCCTTTATTCTCTTCAGGGACACAAAATGCTTTGGGGAAAAGGTGTCAGGTCTGCAAAGGACACTGCTGTCATTAAATATGAGTTTGGTGCTGTGAGCACAGGGTGTGGAGCTTTGGTTTAACATCCCTCTGCTCCTGAATTGAGGAGATGCTCTTCCCCCTAAATGTCAGTGTAAAAAGCCCCAAGGTTGTGACATTCAGAGTGTTGTGCTGATGGAGAGCAGAAGCTCCTCCAGGCCTGGATCCTTGCTCTGATGCGGACCAGTAGCAGA